GTATTGCCGCCCGCCGCCAAGACAAGCATGCCACCAAGCCGCATGCCGATCCTTCCTGCGACGCTCTTGTGCAAATCTTCCACGGTCATGTTGTCTTCAAGAGGAAGCTGCACTTCCGAACCGTCGAGACCACAGACCGTCAACTGTGGGCAGGCAGTAAGGCCTCAACCTCGTCAAGGAGGTCGGCCATATTTCGGGCTTGCGTCTTGGCTTGGGTGCCTTTTTGGACGAAATGAACCCTAAACCCCTAAACCCTGTACCCTGAACCTTAGCGCGGGTTTTGGGTAGTAGATGGCATAGGGTACCTGATCCCACTGTGAGGCTAACATTGTGCCCCTAAGGGAGTTTCTCTTCTGAACAATCCGCGGCTTCAGAGCCATGTCAGGGTTTAGGGTTTAGGGCTGGGGTTAGGTTTAGGTTTTAGGGGGTTTAGGGGGTTAGGGGGTAGGGGGTTTAGGGGGTTTAGGGGGTTTAGGGGGTTTGGGGGGGTTTAGGGGGTTTAGGGGGTTTAGGGGGGTGTTTTAGGGGGGTTTAGGGGTTTAGGGGGTTTAGGGGATTTAGGGGGTCTAGGGGGTTTAGGGGTTTAGGGGGTTTAGGGGGTTTGGGGTGACAAGCGCGCCCCAACAAGAAGTCGAGCACCCCCTTAGCTTAAGCACACCCCAACATTGCTTGCCTAGTTGTTGAAACCCGCGACCTTACCGGGGAGGTTGGGGGGGGCAGGGCACACTCAACCCCAAGCCCCCCTCAAACCCAAAACCCTGGTGTGAATGAACCCAAGTGGTTGAACGGTGGGGGCAGATCAGCCGCCTTCCAACCTTGCCTGAGGCACTTTGGGGCACCGGTCTCATTGCCCCACTATAGCTTAAACATATGCTTGCATCCAGTGCCCCTCAACTGCCTTAGACCCCTTTGTTGCATGATGATTAGTCATAATGACTTATGGGTCATCTGATTCAAAACTTTCTTTGAACTGAAACACGGGCTCACATTGACATGATGCCACGGAGTTAAGTGTATCCAATATAGGGGCCTCGAACCCCACCCCCCCCGCGCGCCCCCTCAGGGTCCCCGGTCCCCCACCCCACTCACCCCCGTTCCGTTCCCCCCCCCCCCCTAACCCTAAACCCTGAACCCGAAACTCTAAGCCCTGAACTCTAAACCCTGAACCCAAACCCGAAAACACCCTGAAGAAATCTAACTAATAACCTTGGGCTACTATTTGTTTAAGCATCCCCATATATATATATATATATCTGTGTGTGTGTGTGTTTTCTTTACGAGTTCTTACACAAAGAATAGTAGAGGCCGCGAAATGCAAACTACCTCGTAAAAGACTAGCGGCGGGGCGGGGCGCGGTGGTGGCATGTTGCGGAGGTCCTCGCAGAGGGTTTATAGGGTTTAGGGTTTAGGGTTTAGGGCTTAGGGTTTCGGAGTGGGAAGGGCTTAGGGTTGAGGAGTGGTACGGGTCTCGGGAATGGAGTTTACCATCTGAAGGGTTTCGGGTTCAAGACGTCTGAATTCCGCAGAGAAAATGATTAATGCAGCCCACTCGGGTCTAGGGAACCTTAGGGAAGCTTACGGAGCCTCAGGCAGTGGTGGAAAATATTGGGCAACCTTGGGTTACATAGCCCCTTGAAACCCTAAACCCTAAACCCTAAACCCTAAACCCTAAACCCCAAACCCTAAACCCTAAACCCTAAACACCCCCGCCCCCTCCCTTGAGAACCCCATGATAAAACATTGGGGTACGGGAGTGGGGGTATGGGCTGCGGGTCGCCTGGGTGTAGCCATCAGCCTGAAGAGGACCCCCTACACCTGAACTCTACCTGGGCCAAAAACATTATATACCCCTACACTTAAACTCGAGGCCCCAAAGTGTATATAGGCAACCCAAGAACCCGATCCAAAACCCTAAACCCTAAAGCCTAAACCCTAACCCCTAAACCCTAAATCCTCTGAACCCTAACATCAAATAACACATCAAAGACTCAAAGACCTGCCCTTCAACTACCCCTAATCGAGGATGGCTCTGAAACCCCTCTGAAACCATTCCCAAATATGGCCCTCACAGACCCCCAAAAGGGGAAATATCAAATATCACAAGGGCCTACCTAGTAATAGCCCTCGAACGCTGAAGCCGAAAATCAAACCGTGTCCGGAGCCACGTCCAGCAGCCCTTGCCTCGGCACGCTAGGAACTGTCGGGTTTAGGGTTTCGGGTTAGGGGAGCTTTATGGTTTTAGGGGGTTAGGGTTTAGGGCTTAGGGTTTAGGGGATCTTTAGGGCTGCAAGGGCATCAAGAACTTTGGACTTTAGGGCGCTTCCGGGACTGAGCATGGCAGCAGTGGGGTTAGAATTCTTCAGGAAATCAACCCAGGCCCCAGGAGGATCTCAGACCACTGAAGGGTCCTTACGGGAACCCCTGCCCTGCTATACGAACTTGGAACCCTAGCAAAAATAATAATTTTAGCTGTTTCTTAGGAAGTATAGAACACGAAAATTAATTAACATATTTCCAAGTATCCCTATACGCCTAACCCTAAACCCTATAAGCCCTAAACCCTAAACCCTAAACCCTGAAGGGATCTGCTTTTTGGGATCCATTCTGGGGTCTGGGAAAGACCTGTCGTCCTTGCAGAGCCACCTCCATAAGTCCTCCTAATTTTGTGGGGTTTAGGGTTTAGGGTTTGGGGTTTAGGGTTTAGGGTTTAGGGTTTGGGGTTTAGGGTTTAGGGTTTAGGGCTTAGGGTTTAGGGTTTAGCAAAGTTTTTCTCCCCGCCACCCGAAAAAGGCTACGCGCTTCTGTGTTTTTCTTGTGGTGGTCAGGCGCCCGTATCCCTCAACCCTAAGACCAGAACCTCCCTGTGGTGTCTTCTTTCCTTTCATGGGCCCACACTTCTGGACGTGGGTTGGATGGTTCAAGGATCTAGGGTTAAAGGGGGTTCGAAACCTAAACCCCAAACCCCAAACCCCAAACCCCAAACCCTAAACCCCAAACCCTAAACCCTAAACCCCAAACCCTAAACCCTAAAGCCTAAACCCTAGGAATTAGTGTGGAGGTTTGGGGTTGGTTGTTGCCAGGCGGAGAGCCGCTGAGACCCCTGCGAGGATCCCAAAAGTAGATCCCTCTAAGGGTTCCTAAGCATGACCCAATACTAGAAGTATCAATATAGTAGTTTAGGGTTTAGGGTTTAGGGTTGAGGGTTGAGGGTTGAGGGTTGAGGGTTGAGGGTTGAGGGTTGAGGGTTTAGGGTTTAGGGTACTACGGCATTTGGGGCTCCAGGGGTCTGGGTGAGGGGTCTGCTTGAAGAAAGGCTCTTCGATGGAGTTCCTGTGAAGCTGTCACGGCGTTTAACGAGCCGGGCACCATGTAGTTGTGTTGGCCTCTTCATATCTACTTCCTCTCATTGGGTAGAAGAGGATAGGTCCCTAAACTTTGGGACAGGGTTCAGGGTCGAAGGTCACGGCTTTGAGCTGCTGGGGTTAATAGGCGTCTAGGGTTTGCAGACTTTTGTGCATTCAGGTCCGCTTTCTGCATATGCCACACCACTACGTGGCAAGGGCTTGTAGGCTTCGGCTGAACTCTCGACATGAATAGCACGGTTGAGGCCAAAAATCTAAGTTCTAAGCTTAAATGTCCAAGCAATCTAGCAGTTGGAACGGGTACACCTTTGGGGCGTACCGGGGTTTGTGAAAAGAACCGAGCACCCCAAAAAGGGGTGGGGGTCTTAGAATACCTTTTAACTCTCACGGGCAGGGCATACCCTAAACCCTGCACCCTGAACCCTGAACCCTAAACCCTAAACTCCAATCGATTCCTCCCAGACATTTTATCGCCTTGAAAACCGTCTGAAAGAATTTTAGGGTCTCGGGTTTAGGGTTTCCATGCTCCTCTTAAACCCAATGAGGGAAACTATATCCCCAGGGCTTGCATAGTACCACAGCAAAGCAGTCTGCACGCTTTGCACTGCCAGTCGCATTTGGTGCGGGTTCTGGACGAGCCGGAAGAGGAGGAACTGAGGGTTTAAGTTTAGGATTTAAGGTTTAGGGTTAAGGGTTTAGGGTTTAGGATTGCATCGACAGTAGGCAGCAAAATCACCATGTTGCCTTGCGAGAGCACCTCCGTCCAACATCGCTGTAGGCCCTTGCCTGAAGTACTCCGCACTCTCTTCAGCCATGAGGCCGCTCCTCAGTGGTTGAGTTTTCCTGAGGGAAGATGGTTAGCTCTTGGGAGTTAGTGTTTTTTCAGGTTCTGAAGCTTAGCTACCCGGCACCTTCCTAAACCCTGAATCCTCCTAAGTCCTACACCCTAAACCCTAAACCCTATAAACCCACGCAACCCTAACCCTTTCGGCACCGAAGACTCCAAGTGGCTGAAGCCGGAGGGCTCGCGGAATCCGTGGCCAGAATCTGGCGGTTGATCAAGACATGGTTTAGGGTTTAGGGTTTAGGGTTTAGGGTTTAGGGTTTAGGGCTTCGGGTTTAAGGATATAAGGTTTAGTTGAAACTGCTTAGTGTGTTTTTAGGTTTCGGGTGTAGGCGTCCCTTGTTGGTGCCCTAAACTACATGGGAAAATGCGAAAATCCTCCGGAGAGGCATGGATCATATGGTCTCACAAACTCTGCCCCCCCCCCCCGGGATAAAGCTTCTTTTGTGATTCGGGGTTTGGGGCCAGATTTTGTAACCTAGGCTACCAAAAGATAGACCTCACTAGAACCCCCCCCAAAAGCACCCTACAGCCTAGTCCTAATCTCCACAATAGAGTTCGGTCCCCTCAGACTACTGCAAGGAATGTACCGCAGGAAAGACCAAAAAGTGGTCCTAAACTCTAAGCCTTGTAAGTTCAGATCAACCTTGAGCTCTAAACCCTAAACCCTAAACCCTAAACCCTAAACCCTAAACCCGAAACCCTAAACCCTAAACCCTAAACCCTAAACCTTAACCCTGAACCCCAAATCTTAAAAACCCTGGAGCCTGTAGGTGTCAAGGCGTCAAACCTGATCAGGAAAGCAGTATGAGCGCCAAGAACTTCGCCAGCTTTTTCACCTTGGGTTTTATGGGTTTAGTGTTGGAGGGTGGTTCGACGGATTCACGGGATAAGGGCTGTGTGTATTCATGTTACTTTTAAACACAGAGAGAGAGAGAGAGAGAGAGAGAGAGAGAGAGAGAGCGAGAGAGCGAGAGAGCGAGAGAGCGAGAGAGCGAGAGAGAGAGAGAGAGCGAGAGCAACTGCAACAGCGAGAGCAAAAGCGAGAGCGAGAGCAAGAGCGAATAGAGTGGGAGAGAGGGTGAGAGGGAGAGGGCGAGGAGAACATAGAGAGAGAGAGAGATAGATATATATATATATATATACATATACATATGTATGTAAACACCTATACAGAAATATATAGATATACATATATGTATGAGAGAGAGGAAGGACCACCCGCAGAGGACAAGTTTGCTAACCTACTTATAAAGAGAACCCCCAAATTGGAATCACCCCTGGACCATCGACATTCCCTTAATGTTCGCCCTAATCTACTGTTTGCCTATAAGAACCCCCCCCCCCAAAAAAAAATAGAAGTAGTCCCCCCCCAATCAGGGAATCACGGGGATTATCTATTTGTTCTTGTTTTTTTTTTTTGGGGGGGGGGGGGGTTTTGTGTGTGTGGGGGAGCGTTCTTAAGCAAATAGTGTAATGTACCATGGCAAACCGTTTCGGGGTCACTTTGTTCCCAAGGCACTGCACCAAGCGCAGCGGATGTCAACATGGCCAGGGCAACCCGTGGCTTCCAGAGGACGGCCAGGAGTAATGCCCAGGCCAGATCTGTCAGAACCTGAGTTGTGTAGTACCTCCTGAAGAAGTATAGACTTCTTATTTGGGTGACTTATAACAAAACATGGGAACCCCAAACTCCCAAAACAACAAACATGCAAACTGCTGAACAGCTTAGCAACTGACAGTGCCACGGCGAGAATCGCCCCTCGCACAGCAAAGCGTGCCAGCTTGCCACGCTTTGCGCGCACTGAGCCGCGCCGTGACAAAGATCTTAGCCTCATGAGCCCAACCACTGCCGACAGGACCGACCCACTGCTCCAACTGCGCCAGCAGGCCGCAAGAATGCCTAGAACGCCACACCAGGTGAAGAAGTTCCAAGAAAATCCGCGACTTCTTTTGGCAGTGGCAGCTTGGGTGCTGGCACGAACACGGAGCTCGGCGACACTGCGCAGGTGGTCACCGCGCACTGAAGCCTTTTCGGACTCCCCTGCTCTCTGAGGCTGCTGCGATGGCCTGATGCCCACAAAGGCAGCAACAGGAAGCTGTTTGCGAGGGTGAACAATGTGGTTGCCGGTCCAAGAGCGCAAGGGGCCTCTGTCTGATGCTTATTATATACTACTAATAACAATAGTAATAATAGTAATAATAGTAATAATAGTAGTAATAGTAATAATAGTAATAATAGTAATAATAGTAATAATAGTAATAATAGTAACAATAGTAATAATAGTAATAATAGTATGCCCTTGCCATGACAAAGCCGCAGGCAGTCCACACGCAAGCGAGAAGCATAAGGCGACTGGACTCCGCATGGCAGGCGCAGAGGCGTAGAGGCGACATGAGGTGAGGGTTGTTAGTTGCGTGTGTCCGCTATATAGATGACACCCAGAATATACGCTTGCATATATATATATATATATATATGTATATATATATATATGTATATGCACACATATACATGTATGTGTATATATATATATATACATATGTATGTGTGTGTGATATACACTTGCACATATATGCGTATTTATACACACTCACCAAACAGGGAACCGCACATTCACCCGCGACCAATAAAAGTGTAGTCCCTAAACTGGGCTGACATGTCTTCCCATTGATGCCTGGTCGGCGGCACAGGCCTCGGTCCTAAACCTTGCAGCGCCACAAGAAACTGACGGTGACCTTTTTGGGTTAAAGGGTTTAGGGTTTAGGGTTTAGGGTATAAACCCTAAACCCTAAGCCCTAAACCCTCAAAAGGGAACCTCAGCCCTAAACAAAAAAACAGGGCCTGCTCTGGTTCCTCGCTGAGAGCCTCGGGGAGTTTCAGCTCTGCAGCCATGGCTGGCTCAGTGGGAGAACCCTAAACCCTAAACCCTAAACCCTAAACCCTAAACCCTAAACTCTGAGCCCCTGGGTGGCCCCGGCAAGAAGACCACGAACTCCACCGAGAGGCAGTGCACCCGCGCCTTGTCAATGAAGGCTTCGTGGCTTGAGGATTTATCGGGCATAGAACAGGGTTTAGGGTTCAGGGTTTAGGGTTTAGGTTTAGGGTTTAGGGTTTAGGGCTTAGGGTTTAGGGTTTAGGGTTTAGGGTTTAGGGTTTAGGGTTTAGGGTTTAGGGTTTAGGGTTTAGGGTTTAGGGTTTAGGGTTTAGGGTTTAGGGTTTAGGGTTTAGGGTTTAGGGTTTAGGGTTTACGGTTTAGGGTTTAGGGTGTTTATAGGAAATATTGGGCTTAGGCTTTATAGAGTACATAGGGTTTGCTTCTAGGGTCTATGAGGGTGTACAGATTGGGATCTGTCGTTTGCGGCCCTTGTGCGCGGGCTCGTCGGGTTCAAGGTCCAGGGCTAGTTTTGAGCCAGGGCTGAGGCCCTCAGCTTCTGGAGGGGCCCGCTACACCACACAAAGTTCAATGGGTTGTAGCATTGCAGGGTTCTGAAGGGCCCTAACCCTAAAACCTAAACCCTAAACCCTAAACCCTAAAACCAGCCTAAACCCTAACCCTCGAACCTCTAGACTGGTAGTGTAATCCCTATTAAGGGCTGTTAGTATAAGGGGGTTTAGGGTTTAGGGTTTAGGGTTTAGGGTTTAGGGTTTAGGGTTTAGGGAAACTGTAACCTTGGACAGTGATGCAAGAGTGGTTGGCAAGGCAAGGCGTGGCAGAGGCCCCTCGCTGGCTCTCTCCTTCAAAACCCCAAGCCCACTTACGTGAAGTAGGGTTAATACTTCTTGTACCCCCGAAAGGACACCCGGTACATACACTCACCAAAATAAAAAAGGAACCTTCTATACACTCACCAAAAGCAGAAATAGAAACCCTACTTGTGCAGGCTACCAAAAACCTATAGACCCTAAACCGTATAGACCCTAAACCCTACATAACCAATAAGGGGGGGGTTGGGTGGCTTTCAGACAAGGAAGACGTTACGCTTGGAGGAGTTTTCAGGAACCCCAAACCCTGAAACCCTGAAGTCAGGGAACCGTCGAGGAGGCAGGCGGGCGCTGAAGCGCGGATCGGGTGACCTTGCGCTGTCTCGGGCCCTCCCTGCTGAAGTTATTATCATAAAGGCCTGAAAACCGTAAAATGCCGACCTAGAGCCCTTAAAACCCAAAAAAAGCACGGCGTCGGAAGACTTCCGAATAGTATTCCCATACATCTGGCCCCTATAAGATATACTACAATAACCCCCCAAAGCCTTAAGGCCCAGAATTAGGCCCTGGAGCCCTAAACCCTATTTCTGGCCCTCAAGGGCCTTCAGGCAAATACAGTAGGCTTTAGGGTTTATGGGTCAAGGGGTTTAAGGGGGGTTTTGGGGGTTAGGGGGTTAGAGTTTGTGCGTTAAGGGGATTAGGGCTCATCCCCTTACAAAGCCTAGACAAGTCCACCTCCAAAATCACGTGGGGATGAGATCGATAGGGGTCCCGTCATGTAGGGGGTTCCACGAAGCTCGCAGGATTAGGGTTCAGGTTCAGGGCTTGCCTGAATAACCCTAGATGTTACTTCGCTACCTGGACCCACTCTTAGCCCTTTAGGTGCCCTCATGTGGTTATACGTACAGTAAACAAGTACAGCGATAATTGGTTAATCAGTACCCCTAAATCCTAAACCCTAAGCCCTATTTATAAGCCCTAAACCCTAAACCCTAAACCCCAAACCCCAAACCCTAAACGCGAAGTACCATGAACCTCCAAGTATCGCCACTGCTCTCATACCGACTCAAACCTCGTCATGCTTATGGGCTGCTCTCGGCCTTCGCCTTTTGAAGAACCAGGCTTGGGTGCTTCAGATGAATCCTGCGATCCTACCCTACACCGTAAACCAAAAGATGCCCAAATTCTACGCGCAAGCCTCGTGCAGAAGTGCCCTTTGTAAGTGGTTGTCCTAGCATGTATGGCTCTTCTGGCGAAGACCTTCCCCCTCTCCCTCGCCCCGCCCACCCCTCTCAGCGTTGATTGCAGAGTCTGATCGTCCTAAACCCTTTACCCTAATCCCTAAACCCTAAACCCTAAACCCTAAACCTTGTTTGTGGCCACTTCACAGACTTGGTACCGAGTAAATAGGAGTGCCCCTCCAACAGAATACCCCTGTTTGGAGTAGAAACCATACCTTGGCAGCCCAGTAACCGTATACTAAGAAGGGTACCCTTTTTGGGGTTGGTATCTTTAATAAGGGAACCTGGAACAAGTAGCCAAATACACATAAGGGTACCCCTTTGGAGGTTGGTCATTTCGACAAGGGAGCCTGGACCCAAAAAAGGGAAAAAAGGGGGTGACTACCAAGATATTCTACAAGAGAACCTTGAACCTAACTAGGATGACCCTTAAAGCCCTCTGAAAAATATTCCTGGATATGATCCTCTTAAACCCAATAAGGGAAAAGTATAAAATGTCCCAGGGGCCTACCTAGCTAATGAAGGGAAAGGGTACCCCTGGGCTTCCCCAAGATGTTAGAGTCACTCTGAGCCGTGTGCATCACAGGCAGACCGCAAGTGACCCAAGGCCTCAGCCAGCTTAGGGAGCTGCCCTAAGCCCCAAAACCCAGACTTAGGTTTGGGGTTTAGGGTTTAGGGTTTAGGGTTTAGGGTTTAGGGTTTAGGGTTTAGGGTTTAGGGGTTTAGGGTTTAGGGTTTAGGGGTACAGGGTTAAAGGATGTAGGGTTGAGGGTAGAGGGTTTAAGGTTTAGAGTTTAGGGTTTGGGGCCCAGGGTTCAGGAGCACTATACTAACAGTCCTTAATGGGGAGTATAGTACCCCCCTACTAGAAGCCCTTACTGAGGACTGTCAATATAAGAGGGAACATCCCAAGTTTGAGAAGAGAAAGGGTCTGCAGATGGCTTAGATTTAGGATGTTCCCATATAAACGAACAGTCCTTGATAATAGGGATGATAGGAGGGCGTACTATGCTTTTCGGACACAAGCAAGTGAAACCTACAATGGGGATTCCATTAAGGTTTAGGGTTGAGGGTTCTCGAGCGTTCCTTTCTGCCAAACTCGTCACATCTCGCTACGGAAAGCCTATGGGAGAGGGGGGGGGTGTTTACATGACATTTTTCTTAAGCTTCTTACACGCCGAGTGGAGTGCACAGCCCTCGCCATGCTATCAGGGGATGTCGATGAAGAGCCACCTGATGCAGTTTGAATAATATTTTATGAGACTGCATCTTGGGTCGGGGCACTGATTAGGGCCAGTTAGGGCTGTAGTCGAGCTGTTGAACTCTGTGAGGGTTTAGGGTTTGGGGTTTCTCTGAACCCAGAACGACATCAAAAAACCGACGCCATCCCTAACAGCCCAGTACTGAGGCGAGTGCGTGAGAGGGGGTGGCGATGGACAGAGCAATGGCGCCTGGCCAGGGGCACGGCTACAGAGCGCCAGCTGACAAAGTCGTCGCTCAAAATACCTGTCCTCAAGACAATCGTAAGTAATGCTCCATTTTCAGGAGTAAGGACTCCCTTGTTCTAATGAACTGTTTTCTCATGGTCCATCCCTTAATACGGGACCTATAAAACCAGTCCGCCTACATGTGCTTGAGGCAGATCCCTAAAACCGCAACCCCTAAACCAGAAACCCCAAACCCCAAAACCCTAACACACCCTAATAAACCCTGATAAACCCTAATAAACCTTAATAGACCCCAATAAACCCTAAAAAAACCTAAACCCTGAACCCTAAACCCAAAACCCTAAAGCCCCAGACTCACTGCGATTTCAGCGGAGGACGTCAGCCACACCAAGAGGGTCTCAGGTGTCCTCCTGCATGCGGCGGCGTTTCACGCCCCTCCGTCGAACAGGCCCCAGATGCTCCCTTACCTGAGTCTAGGGTCTAGGGTCTATAGGGTTCAGGGTTTAGGGTTTAGGGGCTGTTATTTCGATGCGTTGAATATAGGGGTTTGTTCTCGGGACTCGGATGAGCGGTTCGAGCGAAGCCCTAAACCCTCATAAATCCCAATAGAGTGTTAACGTCGTTTCTCAAATCAGCCCCAGCTACCAGGCTACTGTCGCCGCCAAACGCAGCGTCGCCCCAGGTGACCACGGCCCCATCCTCTCGCAACGCTGCGAAGGCACGGTCTGTGTACCTTCGGGTATAAGGGCTTCGGGTTGCAGACCCCACTACGCCCCTACTATACCACCCACAAATTTCATAATACTCTTCTATACTTGTTTAGGGCTCATTTGGGTCCATAAGCCCAAAACCCAAAACCCAAAATCCAACACCCTAAACCCTAACTAAACCCAGAACCCAAAACCCAAAACCCAAAACCCAAAATCCAAAACCCTAAGCCCTAAATCCTAAATCCTAAATCCTAAATCCTAAACCCTAAACCCTAAACCCTAACCCAAGGTACTGTATCGCCAGGACGTGGAAGAGGTCCCCCTGCACGGCGCTACTGTCGCCTCCGGCACAAGCGTCGCCCCAAGTCACCACGGAGCCATCCTTGCAGCACCCAGTAGAAGTGGTTTAGGGTTTAGGGTTTAGGGTTTAGGGTTTAGGGTCTAGGGTCTAGGGTTTTAGGTTTGGGGTTTTGGGTCCATAGGTAGGGTGGGCCGGATGGATGCCTCACAGGCGCATGGCGTAGCATAGCACTCAGATTGCAAAACCATACTCTATGTCATGTTCCGCCGTCCTAGATTAGGCCACCATCCTCATACGGGGGTTTGCGAAAGTAGGAAGACCCCCAAATATAGACCCCCAAATAGAAAAACTCCCTTAGAATTAAGACCCCAATAAGGCAAACCCTAAACCCTAAACCCTAAACCCTAAACCCGAAACCCTAAACCCTAAACCCTAAACCCTAAACCCACAGACCACTTACAACACAGCCCACCTGGAGGATGGCTGCGAAAGCAAAGCCGTTCGCCTGAATCTCGCTCACGTTCTTCAACGCGGCCTGCACTTTGCTACTGTCGCCTCCGTTCCTTGGCAGCCCAGAAAACCATACCCAGTGAAGCTTGAACCTACAAAGTTGTAGGTATCTTGATCTATATGATAACAAGGGGCACCCTTTTGGGTGGTTAACGTTACTTTATAAGGGAACCCAACAAAAGGGTAACAGGGTAGCCGCTGGGCTGTTCAAGATTCTCAGGATCTCCCCAGGTCACCACAGACCCGTCACGGAGGATGGCCGCAAAGGCCCGGTCGCTGCGCTGAATGGCACGGACATCCTGAAGCTGCTGCCGCACCGAACCTAGGATGGCCCTTAATATATATATATATATCTCTCTCTCTCTCTCTCTCTCTCTCTCTCTCTTAAAACACTCTGAAAGATATTCTGAAATAAGGCCCTTAAACCGAAACCACTCTGAAAGATGTTCTTAATTGTGGCCCTCTTAAACTATAAGGGAAAATAGGCCATGTCCCACGGGCCTACCGAGGAGCTGGTGTCGCCACCAGCATCTGCGCTGCCCCACGCCACGACCGAGCCGTTGGACAAGATGGCTGCAAACGAGCTCCTGGTGCCTGATATTTCCTGCACGCCGTGCAGCTGATGTTGCACGGCGCTGCTGTCGCCGCCGCCAGCGGGGTCGCCCCAAGTCACCACACCCCCAGATTTCAGAATAGCAGCGAAAGCGGTTTCAGATCCTTGGACACATCGTACGTCCTTGAGCTGCTCCTGGACGCGGCTGCTGTCCCCACCATAGTTTGGGTCTCCCCAAGCTACGGCAGAGCCATCTGCGCAGATCGCAACGAACGCCCTGCAAGTGCAGTGCATTGCTTGGACATTCCTGAGTTTGTCCTGCACAGTGCTGCTGTCACCGCCAGCATGCGGATCTCCCCATGTGACTACCGACCCGTCTGCCCGGTGCGCGGCAAAGGCAGAGTCACTCGCCCAAATCAGCTGCACGTTTTTGAGCTGGTCCTTAACGTGGCTGCAGTCACCGCCATAGTCTGCTTCACCCCAAGTCACCACCGAGCCGTCGGTCAGAGTGGCTGCAAATGCGAACATCGAGAAGTCCACCATCTGTGCATTCGCGAGCTGTTGCTGGACATTGCTGGGCGGGGGCTTCGACTCGCCCCAAGTTTGAACAGATCCGTTCCTGCAGATCGCACAGAAGTCACACCATTCCGCGAAGATCAGCTCTACGTCACCTATTGTCGGGGAAGGAGGGCTTTCAAGAAATCTGCCCCAGCACACGACGAAGCCATCGGCGCGCAGAAGGGCAAAACCTGTACAGGACCGGGCAATTTCATCCGTCCTGGCCACGGCTGTCACGATATCCCCGTCCTTCAAGCCCGCTTGCTCGAGCGTGCGGCTTTCATGTAGCTCTTCGTTGGAATGGACAATGCCGGACAGCAGAAAACCAAATTCATCTTGAGCTCGGCTCAGCAACTGTCTGACGGTTGCGGCATCTTCAACTTCCACATGCACCTGCGAACATCGAAGAACCACAGGAACTAAAATGAGGGCATCGGCTTCATGCCAGCCTCCCTGACAAACTTTACTGGGGCTGATTCCCCGAACCCTTAAACCCCTATACTACAACCCCCGAAAGCCCTAAGCCAGCAAAACCCCCAAAAGACCCAAAACCCAAACCCTTCTCCTTCCCGCCTCCCTTCCACTGAGCATGGATACGACCAGTTTCATCGACGCAGCCAGTCAGGAATCCAGAGGCCAGGACGCTTCCACTATGACCGCAAGCAGCTTCACTGCAGCAAAGACGCGACATGCCAATAACCCATACAGGGGCCTTTTCAAACAGAAAAGGGTTTAGGGTTTAGGCTTTATAGGTTTAGGATTTAGGGTTTAGGGATTTAGGGGCCATTGTAACTTTATAAGAGTTTATCAGGGAATAGTAGACTACCGGGCCGTGGTGCGCTCCAGGCGTCTTGGGCTCGGGTTGGGGGGGCGTCAGGTCTTGAAGTAATCTAGGGGTCGGAACGACTAATCGTATTCCCTCATGGTCCCTGCAAGATTATGCTATCAGAACGGGGTCTGGGGTTTGTGGTGTGGGGTTTGGGGTTCAGGGTTTAGGGGGAACCATGTAGTAATTAGGTGCCCTTTTTGGGGTTGGCTACTTTATAAGAGACCCTTGAACCAGAAAAATTGAAGCGCGGGCTACCACTGGGCTACAGAGGAGCTACCAATCCTACACCGCAACCCTTATAGACCCGAAAGCCTGATCCTCGCAACATCTCCCTCCTAAGGCTATGTAGAGAGCTATGGCAACTTCTTCGAAGCTTTTTTGAGGACCGTTCTCAAACTGACACACCCTACACGCGCGTGCGCGCGCAAACGGAGGCAACTCTGAACACACAAAAAGACAAACCATGATCCCCGAATGCCTCCAACCAAAGAGGCTCATGCATACATAGGTTCGGTGTACCTAAATCCTTTAAGGGGCCTTAACAAGTATGAGAGGGTTTTGGGCTTTGGGGGGTTAAACAAATTTGGTTTAATGATATAGGGCAAAAAATAGGGATCATTGAAGGGAATACGATTAGAAATTATTCCGGCCCCCTATTACCCCCTTTTAAGGTACTTTTAAGGTACTTTTAAGGTACTTTGAAGGTACTTTGAAGGTACTTTTAAGGTACTTTTAAGGTACTTTTAAGGTACTTTTAAGGTACTTTTAAGGTACTTTTAAGGTACTTTTAAGGTACTTTTAAGGTACTTTTAAGGTACTTTTAAGGTACTCTACATACACCACCTTGCCTTGAGAATCCCGAAGTCCCTCGAAGAGCATGCCGCAAAACAGGAACCCGAACCAGGCTCCAGATTTCTACGGATAGTAATAAGAATATTGCCCAAAACCCTGAACCCTAATTACACCCTACACCCGGAACTCAGAAACTCAATTTCCTGATTCTCAGACAAGCGCTATTTCATGAACCCTGGGCCCGAGGATCCTAAACCCTAAACCCCAACTTAGGGACACGGGGGTTCCCGTTATCGTCCCTCAAGGGACTCCTGAACCTGTACAGTTCTCTTATTCCCGACTACAGTGGGGGGGCGCTGCTAGTTGCGAGTAGAGAGTGACGAGGGTGAGGTTACAAGACAGTTATGAGGGACCTGAACTGTAGTATGAGCACTGAAAGTTAAGATACAAAGCTCCCTAACTACCGCTAGTAGTGGAAAAAAGGGGCCCTTCGTCGCAAAAATCGGCGGGTGCACAGCAGAAGAGGCAGTGTATGCACTTGAGAACCTGAGCGAGCGGACACTTCAGGACCCCTAAACCCTGAACCATGCTCAGCTCCGTTTCTCTAGGTAACAGTATGCGTCCCTGAAGCCCTAGACCCAGTCCTCGAATCCAGCACACATAGAACCACAAGCCGGGTTTAGGGTTTAGGGTTTAGGGTTTAGGGTTTAGGGTTTAGGGTTTAGGGTTTAGGGGTTAGGGGTTAGGGTTTAGGGTTTAGGGTTTAGGGTTTAGGGTTTAGGGTTTAGGGTTTAGGGTTTAGGGTAAACAAACCGGCCTTCGCCGAACCCTGATCGAACCGCTACAAGTCTCTTGAAGGAAAAGGCGGAGCAATTTGACCAAAACAAGTATGGTGGTCACTGCTCTAAATGATGGTCCCCTTTTGGGGCTACTATCATGAGGCGGCGCCGAGTATACATATACATATACCTATACATATACATATATAACTCAGAAAAGGACCCGAATTTAGAGCGCTGACCTGGGGCCTAAACGATCCTAAACGCCCATCCAAGCCGAGGGAGTGACGTGCACCTATCAACTCCATCCCACATGCGGAACTCCAACCACTGAAAGCATCAAAGCTTCACAGCACAAAACACCAGCCCTAAACCCTAAACCCTAAACCCAAAAACCTAAACCCTAAACCCTTAACCCACATGAAGAATTAAACCTTAAACCCTAAACCCATAATAGTACTGAGTCAAAAAAATCACCGCAGGTCTGGTTCTGGTGGGGACATGGACCCTAAACCCTTTAACCCTTCAACCCTTGAACCCTTAAACCCTTCAACCCTTCAACCCCTTAAACCCTCAAACCCATAAATCCTTAAACCCTTAAGCCCCTCAACCCCTTAAACCCTTAAACCTGTAAACCTTTAACTCTTCAACCCCATAAACCCTTAACATCTACTAGGACTTGGAAAAGGTTTGGAGTTGGATCCCTTTTGCATTGATTTCGAGTACCGACTTCTAAGACGGTTGGTGCCCACAAAGGGATCGGTTTATGGTTTTGGGTTTTGGGTTTAGGGTTTAGGGTCACAACTCAATTTGGGATCCAGCGCGTAATTCAACCCTGAACCAAACCCGTAACCCTAAACTTTACACCGAAAACTCTACAACTCTAACCACAGCACTTCAAATTCGAAGGGCCCCAGGGGCAAGCAAAAATTAGTTTCAGGAAAATCTCGAGTTTGGGGTGGGGCGCAGGGATTGGGATAATCTTATCCCCCCCCCCCCAACCCTGAACCCGAAACCCGAAACCCTAAACCCTAACCCCCCCCCCCCCCCCTAGTTCCGGCGCTAAAGTACGAAAGGCTTGCCTTATGAAGGAGTCTGCGAGACACTTAGGGGTGTCGGGTATCTAGGGTTTAGGGCTTAAAGCCTTCAAGCGCTAAACCCTCTACGCTGTCTAGGCCTCTTGAGCCCTGCGCGCATATTAAGTAGGAGGCTGTATTTCTCATATTCACACTCACACATTCACACTCACCAAAATTCACTCCGGAACCCTGTATACACTCACCCGTAAGAGCAATATGTGACACCTGCCCCCTAAACCTTAAACCCTAAACCCTAAACCCTAAACCCTGAACCCTAAACCCTAAACCCTAAACCCTAAATCCTAAACCCTAAACCCTAAACCCTAAACCAACCCTTTCACTGCATCCTCGCCGGGTATCCGACAGGAGAGCGCACGCTGAAGTTCACCGGGCCGGATGGGGAACTGCAGTCGAGGCCTCGTCGGTCTTGAGGGTTGGGGGTTGGGGGTTGGGGGGTCGGGGGGTCGGGGGGTTGGGGGTTGGGGGTTGAGGGTCGAGGGCTGAGGGTTGAGGGTTTAGGGTTTAGGTTTAGGGACCGAAAGCTTCTCAGCCCTGAAGCCTAATCCGAGCTGGCTCCAGCTTACCTTAGGGTCGAGGGTCTCGGGATTTAGGGGGTCCAAAGCCCATGTAGGAGCTGTCCCATGACACACCTGTGCCGGGCGTAGGGTTTGGGGGGGTATACGTCTAGGGTTTAGGGAGTACAGCAGGGCTTAGGGGCGCCTCAAGCCAAGAGCCAAGCAAGAGCCCGCATTGTCCACGACCCAACGCATCCGGATACTGTCTCGGGCTTCGACAGCTGCCTTTGACGTCTCCATCGGGGGTAGGTACCTTTGAGGGGGGCTTAAGGGTTAGGGTTTAGGGTTTGGGGTTTCGGGATAACCATATACCAAGGTGGGTAACTCTTTAAGGAAAACCTTGAGCCAACAAAACGGGCAAAAGGGTACCACTGGGATACCAGGGTGTTCTGAGGGGTTGAGGAGCGGTTGTTGTGTTCAGCCCCGTCCCGAAATTAAACCCAAAGCCCTAAACCCTACGTCCCTGACATCCTTTGCCCGTACTTCTGTCCATTTTGTCTGCTGTGGATCTGATCCTTCACCCGCCCTCCATCGCTCGTTTGTGTAGGAGTACCATGACAGGCGCTTTCGGCAGTTCCATGGTCCCGAGTATGGGCCCTTGAAAGGGAACCCCTTATATACCCCTTTATACCCTATACAAAACAAAGGCCCATACTTCCGAACCTGCGAGAGGTAGGGAACCATATTTTGGGCCCATGAAACTACCCTTGGAACAGGCAGGGAGTTGCTCAACATTAGGGGTCTTTTTTTCCGGGGGGGGGGGGGGGGTTCCGTCCTTTACAGGGGAATCTGCCCCATTTTGAAAAGTGCAGCCACTTTAGGAACACCCGCAGGGCTCAAGCGACTCTAATTGGTGAGTAATCATACAAGTCTCCTGCCCTCGAAAATGAAGCCGTTGAGCAAGGCTACCCGGCTACCCCAAAGTCTCGGGGATCTGAAATCGCCGAAGCCCAACAGCGAAGACAGCGGTGTATTAGGCTTGAAGGTTTGCTTCTATTTGCTTAAGAACACCCAAAAAACATAATAATCCTATAGTGCACTTAAAATTAAGAAGGTTTTCAGTTTTTGGGTGGCTCTTGAACAAATAGTAGTTTGGGCTTTAGGGTGCCCAAGCCCCGAACCCTAAACCCTAAACCCTAAACCCTAAACCCTAAACCCTAAACCCTAAACCCTAAACCCTAAACCCTAAACCCTAAACCCTAAACCCTAAACCCTAAACCCTGAACCCTGAACCCTGAACCCTGAACCCTGAACCCTGAACCCTGAACCCTGAACCCTGAACCGAACCCTAATCTCCAAACCGGCTGGCAGTGAGGGTGTCGAAGATCTGAGGAAGCACGCCGAGGACCAGAGTTGTCAACCTGCCATTTACCATCCCTACCCCTTGCCCGGGGGTCAGGGTTTAGGGTTTAGGTTTTAGGGTTTAGGGTTTAGGGTTTAGGGGTTAGGGTCTAGACTACCCCCTCCCCCGTAGGTTCCACTTTCAGAGCCTACAGGGCTCGTGGGGCTTCCAGGGCCCTGCAGGGTGATTGGGGCCATTCGGAGCGAAGTCGGTGGATTTAGATGGCACCAAGGAGGCCGCACAGCATCGAAGAGGGCTTGCTTAAACCCTAAACCCTAAACCCCAACCTGAACCCTAAAACCTAAACCCTAAACCCTTAACCCTTAACCCTTAAACCCTAAACCCTAAACCCTAAACCCTAAACCCTAAACTCAGTCGGTTGCTGCACTACAAAGTCTAGGCGGAATGCACAAGCACGACCAGGCCCGAAACTCGGCTCTAAACTTAGAACCAACTCAAGCCCGACAACACACACACACACATACACTTATTCCCCCCCCTACGCTGCTTTACATCCTGAAGCCCTGAACCCTGAAAGCCCGCCCGGCCTGGCTGTGGGCCATAGTCGAAGGGCCTCCGACAACAGCGTCCAAAGGTCGATTTGGATGCCTGGGACAGGCAAAAAACGGGATTCCACCCTTGTGGCCGTCGATTTTTTAGGACGCCAGCTTCCTTGCATGGCAGATGCTTTCGAAAAGCCAAAAACAATCAGAGTTAACTGATAGTCAGGACGTGCACCCTCAAGCATAGACTTGAAACCCCCGGTTTGAAGCCAGCCTACCTTTAAGAAACTCAAAACTTTCTTTGAGGTTGCAACTTTTGCAAGTCTTTCTGGGATCCTGCACAAATTGGGATTTGGATTCCCAAGATAAGCTACACACCCTCAACTCAAAACCCAAACAGGACCCTAAACCCCCCCAAGCCACCTTAACCCTACCCTCATTCCTATAAGCCCTAAACCCTAACCCCTGAACCACGGACCCCCCAAACCCCTAAACCCTAAACCCCAAACCCTCAACCCTACACCCCCACACCCTAAACCCAAACCCCTCAACCCTAAACCCTGCACCCCCAAACCCTAAACCCTAAGCCGCCTAAGCCCTTAACCCTAGGCACCTGAAACCGCAAACCCTGCACCCGAACCTGGCTCCGGGGCTGCATTCCGCAGAACCGCGGACAGCATCGCAGCCGAGGAATCCATCCCTCCACCGGGGCCTGCGCAAGAAGTCATAGGGTAAGCCCTAAACCCTAAGCAAACCCTGAACTCTGCTAGCCCTAAACCTGCAAAACCGCAAAAGGCCTAAACCCTTAAGGGACGGTGAAACAGCCCTTCCAGCCTCCATCCTCGCCGCCAGGCAGCAATGCGGCCAGCAGCCGACGGACCTGAGTGCGAGGGCTGATTGTACCGATGGGGGCCAAGAAGTCCTCAGACAGCGTATGTCCCTTCACGAAATCAAGGAGTTTAGGGCTTGGGGTATCGAGTTGTACTGGTAGGAGAGCAAAATACAAAACCTGTCCCGGTACTAATTGCCCTAAAGATCCAGGTGCATATATAGGTCCATAGCGAGGCCTTAAAAGGGGTTCCTACACATAGGTACTCTACAGGTGCATGGATCCTTACATTTGAGGTTCTGAACTACAACCCGAAACCCTAAACCCTAAACCCTAAATACTAAACACGTGCCAAACGCTTTTGGCACTACACGGGGCTTCGCGGCGGGTGTTGATTTCTCGCACGGCGAAGTCTGGTTTAGGGGTTTAGGGGTTTAGGGTTTAGGGTTTAGGGTGTAGGGTTTAGGGTGTAGGGTTCAGGGTTTAGGGTCGAGGGTGTCTTTGTTCAGGCTGACCGAAGTCTATCCAGATGCCCACATTCCAAGCCGCAGGAAGCGCACACAGCATCATCCCGAGCTAATGAAGCCTGCAAGGGCTGTCGGGCCGCGCGGCACGGAGATCGGGCCGATCATGAGAGAAGCTGCAAGCAGAACTCCTCCTCTTCCTGGTCCTCCGGGCTGTGCGCTTCCTGGCTTTCCCCGCAGACAGCTCGGAAGCCATTCTTCACAAGGACGCGTTTGGATGCTAGGTTGGTGCGAGCCACTCCGCCAACGATGGATGCTATGGCCCCCTGGGGTTCCTCTGCATTCCGCTGCCGGCACCAGCTCACAAAGCCCTTCCTTGGTCGTTCCTAGGACCCAAGATGTCCCTTTAACAATCCTATAACAAGTATTCCTAAATATTCTCCCCTCTTTAAACCCAATAGGGAAAGTAAATCCTCTAGAAAAAAATATTCCAAAATATTTTCTCCTCTTAAACCCAGTAGGGGAAGTAGAAGATATCCAGAGGGCCTGGCTAGGTTCAGAGGGTTCCTCCTGCTACCTGGCATACCGGCCGGACAGAGTCTTCCAACAAGCCCTTACCAAGAAAAGCCCTAAGCCCTAAACCCTAAACCCCAAACCCTAAACCCTAAACCCTAGACGCAAAACCAACCAGGCTTCACCAGTTCGGATGCCAAGCCTTGGCCCCAGAAATTCTGAGACAGAAGGTATCCCAAGCGAAGACATCTTCGGGAGGCGGAGTCCTTACTGTTGGTTAGTAGGGAATGAGGGAATGAGATACCCTACATAGTCCCGTAAAGGGCATGTGTATATGTATATATATATATATATGTATATATATATATATAGGGGGACATAGGTTACTGCATTCCCTCCTTCCCTACTAATCAGGAGTAAGAGTCTTCCTCCGGCAGCTCGAAAGCGATAACCAAGCCGACCATCGATGCCGACGCCGTCGACAGGTCCTCTGCGTCGCCTCGTGTTGTTTCGTCTGGTGCGCTGCCACCTTCCTGCAGAGGCCCAAAAAGCCACAGAAACATAAGGATCCTACAAACAGGGTTTTTTTCGGAATCACCCTTAAAAGGGTGCCTTAGAACCCTAAACCCTAAACCCTAAACCCTAAACCCTAAATCCTAAACCCTAAACCCTAAACCCTAAACCCTTAGCTCTCCTTGGCCACCGCAAACAGCAGTGTGGTCATAGGGTCGCCCACTAAGTCGGCAATCCACTGCTTCGCCCTCTCCTTTCTTCTGAAATAACCAAGTGGAAACAAAGGTTAAACGTTGTAGTATTCCTGCTAAATAAGGGGGCGTAGGGTTTAGGGTTTAGGGATATTTAGGGTTTAGGGTTTAGCAAAAAGTTGAAAGTTCAACTCTTGGCTGAGAAAGTCTCTGGTGAATAGGGGCCTTGCCAGTGGGGTGGAAGTGGTCGGGTCACCTGGCGTTGCGACCCTTCGGAGGCCCTGGTCGCACTTTATACAGAGCTCCTACAAGGAGGGGCCCCCCCTAGTTATAAGTAGAGTCATAAGGGCCCTACATTGGGTTAGAAGGATCCTAAATTAGGTTCTAAGTCCCTTAACTATAGTAAGGGGGCCCCTCCTTGTACGGATGTCTTCAGGGACCGGAAACCCATAAGAGCTGCCCAAGAACACGCCAAAAGAACTGCCACTTCATCAAGGAGCATTCGTTGAGTCACAAGTACTTCATTTGGTCCTCGGTATACGGGGCTAGGGGTTCGGGTAAGTACCGGAATATCCCCCAAACCCCAAACCCTGAACCCTGCACCCTGAACCCTAAACCCTGAACCCTAGACCCTAGACTCTAAACCCTAAACCTTAAAACCTAGACCCTAGACCCTAAGCCTCCTCCGTGAGCATCGTGGCCACCACACCGGAGGCAAGGCCCAGTGAGCGTTCGCCGGACGAGGCGCCGACGTCCCAGCGGGCAAATGTTGGCTCCAACTCCTGGACGAGGAGCCTTGGGTTTAGGGTTTAGGGTTTAGGGTTTAGGGTTTAGGGTTTAAGGTTTAGGGTTTAGGGTTTAGGGTTTAGGGTTTAGGGTTTAGGGTTTCGGGTTTCGGGTTTCGGGTTTCGGGTTTAGGCTCAACACAGCCCAAAATAGCTTTAAGATTCCTTGGAGCCTTAGGGTTCGGGTTTTGGGTTTAGGAAATAGGGTTCTGTACATAGGGTTTAGGGTTTAGGGTTTAGGGTTTAGGGTTAGGCGGCTAGGCGCCTTTCCGTTTCAAAACGGCAGCCCCGCAGAATGGACGGCACATCCTCGCGGTCAGTCCCAGCCATGGCCGCGCACTTTGGAAGCTCTGAGTAGAAGGGTTTAGGGTTTAGGGTTTTAGGGTTTTAGGGTTTTAGGGTTTTAGGGTTTTAGGGTTTTAGGGTTTTTGGGTTTTAGGGTTTCAGGGTTTCAGGGTTTCAGGGTTTAGGGTTTAGGGTTTAGGGTTTTAGGGTTTTAGGGTTTTAGGGCTTTAGGGCTTTAGGGTTTTAGGGTTTTAGGGCTTTAGGGTTTTAGGGTTTAAGGGTTTAAGGGTTTAAGGGTTTAAGGGTTTAAGGGTTTAAGGGTTTTAGGGTTTTAGGGTTTTAGGGTTTTAGGGTTTTAGGGTTTTAGGGTTTTAGGGTTTTAGGGTTTTAGGGTTTGACTTAGTCAGTCTACTTAGCATCCCCTGGAAAGGCTCTTATAATCCCCATAACCCACCTTACGAACCCTACTTACGAAGTCAAAAGGGCTGCAAAAAAAAATCTGGCGCGGCGCGCGGCCGCCCGCAAGCTCGCGAGGAAGTGGCTTGCGCCCGGGAAGAAAGAGGCGTGACTCAGAAACCCTACATTATGTCCCGAAAAAACCTAAGCCCGAAAAGCCCCAAAAACCCTGAAAGCCTTAAAAACCCTAAAAACCCTGAAAGCCCCAAAAGCCCCAAAAAGCACCAAAAAGCCCTAGAAACCCTAGAAACCCCAAACCCAAAACTCTGTCAGCGCAGCCCAGATCTGGTCCCTCTTTCTAACTTTCTCCCTGCTACTTTGCACCAGAACCATCCATGGCTGATAACTTCGCGTAGAACCGTTTAGGGTTTAGGGTTCAGGGTTTAGGGTTTAGTTAGGGTTTAGGGTTTGCACAACCTTCCTGAGCTTCTGAAAAACTCTGCTAACAAACCAGATGGAGCATCTGAGTGCAAGATCACGATACCCTAGAGTTGGGAGGTTGCCCCCCCCTTCTACTCAGAGTCCTTCAGAGGGATTCTAATTGGGGAGTACCATAATCCCTATTAAGGACTATTCGTGGGGGGGGGGGGGGAACATCCTAACCCTGGAGCCGAACGGCGCTCCAAGGTATTCTGCCGCTACGCCTGTTTAGGGTTTAGGGTTTAGGGTTTAGGGTTTAGGGTTTAGGGTTTAGGGTTTAGGGTAGTACGCCAGGGCCGCGGCATATCCGTCTGTGCTGCACTTGATGGCGGCCACGCGGGCCTTAACCCTACACCCTATAAACCTTAAACCCTAAAAACCCTAAAACCCTAAAAACCCTAAAAACTCCAAAACCCTAAACCCTGAACGCCCTAAAAACCCTCAACCCGAAGCCTTCTCTCAACCGAAAGGGTTTGGGAGATGAGGGTGCAGGGTTGGTGGTTCAGGCTCCGGGTTTCGAGGTTTAAGGGGGGGAGGGGGGAGGGGGGCGGAGGGGGGGGGGGAGGTCCCTTGTATCCTCTTTTCTTCAAGGTCTCCCTTATACTGACAGTCCTTAATACGGACTACAATTAGGGGTACTATATTCGCTGTTCGGGACTGTTAGCATAAGGGGGAACATCCCAATTTTGGGGGTCTAGCGCACCTAACCCCGCCCCTCCCCCACAACGACAAACAAAAGTCTGAGCTTTCCCAGCTCGGGGTGCTTGGATTTAGGGTTTGGTTTAGGGTTTCTGGTTCAGGGCAAGTCATCCCGGCCATCTTATCATCCATCGGGGCTTTGGGCCTTTCGTGTTTTTAGGGGGTTTAGGGCGCGCGGTTGGGTTTAATATAGCGGTTTCAGACCTATGTCTACATACGGAACCAAGTGGGCATATTCCCTTATTAGGGCTTATTCAAGCTCATTTTGAATATTTCAACCCTTTTTGGGGGAGTATGGGTTTAGGGTTTGGGGTTTAGGATTTAGGGTTTAGGGTCCCTTACACCCCCTTCCCTTACCCTAGACCCTAAACCCTAAACCCTAAACCCTAAACCCTACACCCCTTTGGTTCCCTATGAGGTTTACAGGCCAAGAGCCGCACCAAATGGCACTCCACGAGCAGACGGGCAGCCTCTGCCTCCCCGACGCAGCATCACAAGCACGTCTTCCCAAGCGCTTCGAACCCTAGACCCTGGACCCTAGACCCTAAACCCTAAACCCTAAACCCTAAACTAAGCCTAAACTCTAAGCCCTAGCCTCCTTCACTGCCGTTAGCTCCCGGAAGTCCAAAGCCAGGCGGAGCCAGGCAACAGCCGCCTCCTCATCGGGTGCAGTTGGGGGTTTAGGGTTTTAGGTTCAGGGTTGGGGTTGTAGGGTTTAGGATTTAGGGTTTAGGGCTTTAAGGCTTAGGGCTTAGGGTTCTTGGGTTCAGGGTATGGGGTTTAGGGTTTGGGGTTTTGCTCCCATCAATGAGATTTGGTCCCCTCCCGCCCTGAGCTGACCCTGTGCACTCCGAACCCTAGACCCTAAACCCTAAACCCTAGACCCTAGACCCTAAACCCTAAACCCTAACCCTAAACCCTAAACCCTAAACCCTAAACCCTAAACCCTAAACCCTAAACCCCCAAAGCCTTACTAGTCGCCATAAAGAGCATCCCCAAGGCCTGGAGAACCTAAACGCCCGACCTGGGCTGCAAAGGCTCTAGCGCGGTTGCTTTGCGTTTTCAGTTGGGATGTTCCCCCCCGTATACTAAGTGTTTAGGGTTTAGGGTTTAGGGTTTAGGGTCTAGGGTTTAGGGTTTAGGGTTTAGGGTTAAGGGTTTAGGGGTCTTAAAGAGGGATTGCAGTACCCCCCCCCCCCCCACCCCCATTTTATTGCCCCTATTAAGGACTGGTAGTATGAAGGGGAACACACACATAAATTTTCAGAACACACCAACAGCAAAACACCAGAGCCCTTGAGGCCCCTAAGCAATGCTTGCAAGCCCGCGATATCGCAATCCCATCAAAAACAAAAACCGCCGGAATCCCCAACTGCTAAAACCCCGAAATCCTAAAACCCTAAACTCTAAGCCCTAAGCCCTAAACCCTAAACCCTAAACCCAAAACCCAAAACCCTAAACCCAAAATCCAAAACAAACCCTGGATAGGTGTTGCATGCTCCTAAACCCCAAGCAGCGACCGAACCTCCGCGGAAGCCTCGCCGGACTCGCAGAGCGAGAGGACGAGCCTGCCCGAGCCCCAGAGAAGTCAGGTGTTCAATTGGTTTAGGGTTTAGGGTTTAGGGTTTAGGGTTTAGGGTTTAGGGTTTAGGGTTTAGGGTGAAGGGTCTAGGGTTTTCGTACCCCTAGGCTTGTACCCCTAAAGTTTTTTCCCTTAATTTGCTCCCAATATGGGTTTAGGGGTTTAGGGGTTTAGGAAGTTTCGAGCTTAGGGCTCCTAAGTAAGCCAAATTCCCGCAAGGCAACTGAACTCTAAATCCCTCCAGTCGCGTTGGGGGAGGGGGAGGGCAAAAAAACGATCGAAAGTCTATGGCTTCATAAAGACTATATGAAAAAACTAAAGGTAAAATGAACATTAGACAATGATGTTCAAGCCTACCCTGGAGAAAAAAGCTTCTTTAAGAGACACGACCAAAACAAGAGAGATAAATACAGCGGTGCGCAGCTTGGAGGGTGAAATGTTCCCCCTCTATACCTTAGCTTTGGAGTAGACCCTGAAAAAAGTGTATACTTTTTAGGTATAAGTAGCTAGAATAGGAACCCAGAACCAAACAAAGTATTAAAGTATAGTACTCCAAGACCCGGATACTAACAGTCCTGAATAGGAACTTTCGTACCCCCCTATTAGAATCCCTCTGAAGGGCTGTTGGTAAAACTACCAATTGCAGAAGATCCCTCTGAAAGTTTAATTAGATTCCACCTTATAAGGGTAATGTAGGGACTGTTTTCTTTTTTTACATGTTTTTCTGGGGGTTCTTAAGCAAATAGTAGATAAGGGGGAACATCTCAAGGGGTTGCACTAACCCTAAACCCCAAACCCTAAACCCCAAACCCTAAACCCTAAACCCTAAACAAAAATCAGGGGCCCCCGACGGTGCAAGGTCGGCATCCTTGAAAGACAGGAGCCTCGTGGCCTAAATTGAGTTCGGGGGGCGACCCCGGGGCTTCGTAGGGTTTAGGGTTTAGGGTTTAGGGTTTAGGGGTCTAGGGCTCATAGGGCTTAGGGTTTAGAGTTCAGTAGGCTTTTCGAGCCCCACTCCCAAAACACATCTTCCGTTTTGGGGCCGTGGGCTTGCAACCTTTGATTTCTCCAACTTTCGGAGCCTTGTCACCCAAAACCCTAAACCGACAATCAGTCAGTTTCGAAGCCAACGAGCGCATCCTTGACGGGATGATGATCATCGGAACCCTACTTGGAGGTTCATTGGTTCTTAATTATAGGCAAGGTTTTGGTACCTATACGGATGACTCCGTTGAACGTACTTATAACCCTACAGCTACACATGAGCCTCCAAGCAAGCCCTCTGCTTGAAAACTCCCGAACTCCTTGTCTCGACTCTCGACAAGAGGCGGCTGGAGTCGCGACAAGCGAAGCTTCCTGGTCAAGAAGCAGAAAGATTTGCGCCAAGGTATGCGTGGTTTGGGCGCCGTTGCAAAAATGCTACAAGTTCTCCTGCTTGGGTGTATCCGGGCCCTAAACCCTAACCCTAAACCCTAAACCCTATCACTGAACCTATCTACACCAAGGGCGAAACCACGGATCTCAGCTTCGCACCCCCAAAGCTGTCGAGAGCTCGAGCTCAGCAGTCAAAGCCTTGTTGAGTCGGCAGGGTCAAGTTTGGGCTTGTTTAGGGTTAAGGGTTGGGGTTTAGGGTTTAGGGTTTGGGGGTTGTAAGATTTACAGGTGCATCCATTCCCTGAAATTCACAATAACAAGGGGTCTATCAATAGCAAAAGGCGGAAAACTGAACACATCTGCGAATTGGTGCTTCAGGTTGCTGGGTTTGGATCAGCTGCGTGCCCTCAGGGCTTTGGCTGAGTGACGTCTTGTAGTCATGTCTTCATTGCCCTCTGATGAGAAAAAAACAGAATACCTAAGACTGGAGAAAGCCTCCAGCCTTAACAGAGTT